ACCGGGCGTGCGTAAGCCCAGAAATCAGGGTTGGAACTGCATCGACAAAGAAACGAAAATGATGTCAGGCCGAGTTTCAAGCCTCATGTTTGCCTGGCCGTAGCCAGCACTCTGCCCGAGGCTAGGATGCCTTGGGCACCTTTTACATCTGTGCCATGGACCCATGCGACCCACTCTGCCGGCGCCTTGGGCAGACCCGGGAAATGCAGAACAGGAAAAGCCAAAACTACCGCTTCCGACGACGGCGTCTAATCGCATACGCTCGACGTCTGCACCTTTCGGAAAAAACGCATCCCGCTCACTGAGTTCTGATCGTCCTGTTGCCAGCTGTCGTACCAAGAACTTTGTCCACTCACGCGGCTGCTGATAGTTTTGTCCAGACCAAGACATGCTTGGAGAACAAAGGACGGGATCTACACTACTCGAAAAAACGTCAACACCTGATGGCTGCAGGAGGGTAAGTCATAAAGACCTCTGATTTGCATCTGAATACCACTGTACAACAAACAGCAAACAGCATCAACGGCCCTGCACATCATCCAAGTCTGCAGGATGGGTCCCTGCTTCGTCATGACAAAATCTGCAGGATACTGCACGGGCCACCCCGCCGCAGGCAGCACTCTGAAAGACGTAGGGACAAGCCCTACACTGCCTGGAACACACTCAAGCAACCTTCCTGACAGCCAATGCTGGTACCTCTGATCTGCGAGCCACATCAGCTTAGACAGGCTAGGCCTGCTGTCACTGAAGTACATCTTGCTCCTGAATACCTCTGATGTTTCAAACTGGTGTTGACATTGAAGAGAACTATGAAAAAGGAATTTGTATCGGCAGATTGGGTCCTGTCTGCCATTTGCAGGTACGCCAGACTGATCAGGTCTGGTATCCCCCAGGATGACTAGCTTCCTTGGCACAAGTCATCATCCTGGGCTTGTGCCCCCTGCGCAAAAGAAATGAGGTCGACGGTTGAAACCCTTGGTTACAGGGTTGGACACACACACACACACCCACACACCCACACACCCACACACCCACACACACACACACACTGACTCCTAAAGCCCCCCCACCCCCCCCCCCGCCCCCCTTTACACTCTAAGCTCCCGAAGCGTCCTAAACTCTAAGACCCTAAGGTGCTGCAGCCGTGCGTGCTGTGGCTCGTGTGGCTCGTCGTGAGGAGCCATCTTGTGGCAACAGCTCCATCGCCCTCCATGTGTTTCAGGTGTTTTGTGTTTGGGCCTAGGACTTAGGGCTTAGAGGTGTGTGTGTGTGTGTGCGTGTGCACACACGTCTGTTTTAAAAAACGCCTGCACATGCTTGGCCAACGAAGACCCCCCCCCCCCAATCACCCCACCCACACAGGTGCGTTTTAAATTAGCTACGCGCAGAAGGGCACAAAGTGGGTGCCCCTCTATTCTCTCATATTGTTGCTATTGTTCACGTGCTAAACTACCATCAACTCCGCCTGCTTGTTTAACAATAGTACTAGGGCCGGGAGTAGGCCCTTTTTTCCTTTTTTAAGGTTGGGGTTCCGTTATAATAATCCCCTTATTAAAGCCAAAAAGGGTACCCTTTTTATTCCTAGGTTCCTCCGGGTCTAGAATATCATAATTGTGAGAAGACCCTGGAACCCATCCCACCTGTCAGCTCTCTCGTTCGATCGCCAGGAATTATTGCGTTAAGCGTGAATGAATGAATGAACCGCCCAAAAACGCCTACTCTGCTTTGCTTTGTTACTGGGGTTCTTGGCCCTTATCCGCACATCGTTCAAGCGGGCACGAGGAGTTGTGGTCGAAAGGCTTGTGGAAAGGATGGGAGTTTCTTGAGCCATCATTGGAACTCTTTTACCCAGGTCGTACACTCATGGCCAGGTTTCCTAATGGTTATACAACTAGCCTGTGAACGAAGGTAATGAGTGCTTTTTCTACAAGTCACGAATAGCTTGTGAGGAGTTAAGTAGGAGTTATCGAGTGGTTGCTACCAAAGGAAGGCGAGCTCTTCATCGATGTTCTCACTACAATGAAAAATGTCTCAAGAGCTATCCACCAATTCTTCAAGTTTCAGAATCTTCCATTCCCTCGCCTCCAGCCCATAAGCACCTGCTCTAGGCCCTAACACATTTTGTTGCTGCGCCCCCTGCATCCAAAACCCAGAGCTGTCCGGAGGACCGCGATGTGTTGGCGTCATTGCTGGCATGTTTGCGAGCCGCTTGGTCGAATTGAAAGCATGTTCCCCGAAACCCCTAGGAGGGGGCCTGCAAACCTCCAAACCCTGCCAGTCTCTTGTCCGCCACACTAGGGGTCTGCTGCTCCGAACGCTTGATGGCGTTTGTGTTCTGAGGACTGTTCCTTCGGCGGGGCCGCCATGACTGAGCCGCTCAGCAAACATAGGGGAAAAAACGAATATAGGGGACCCCGAATACAGACTCCCAAATAGTAGGCTTCCCTTATGTTTCCCTTCCCCAAGAAGGTACCCCTACTCTCGGAATGCCCCAAATCGATGAGAGCGGGAGCTGGCTGCACGATGCGAAGTTACTTACTGTTGGTTGGCAGGGAAATGAGGGAATTAGGGCCCTGAATATACCCTTTAAAGGATGATGCAGGGTACCTCATTCCCCATTCCCTACTAAGCAACAGTAAGACTCAGGATGGCGACTGCCCTGCGATGCCTCGTCGCTCCCGGTGATCCAGTGATCTCCCCAGCCGCTGTCTTGTGGGGCATGTTCACAGAAGTAACATCGTCCACTTAAACAGCCGGCTTTCTGCGTTCGCCTATGGCGAAAAAACTAGCTGCAAAATCTCCAGGCTTCCGGCTTAGAGAGGAACTTGTGATCTACACCTAGGGGCTGTCTGGGTTCCTTTTCGACCCTTGCCGAGGAGGTTGTGGAGCACATCGCGGGGCTCCTGTCCAACGCAGCCTTCCCTGTGCGTCACGCGGCATTGCAGGCAGGCCACGTTTTGGGCACCCGGTTCAAGAGGCGACGTAGAGGGAGTGTGTGTTGTACATACATACATGCATACATACATACATACATACATACAAACATACATACCATATATATATATATATTGAATATACAGCGAGACATGAATATGTGTATACATTTTTCTTTGTCCTTGTCACTTGCATCAATTTAGTCGCGTGATGCCCAAGGCGTAGTAGCATGAATGCATTGTTGAGAAGGGACAAGGGCTTGTGGTGGGATTGAAGCCGTTTCGTCTTTGGAACTTTACGAACAGCCCTCCTCCTTTTCTCATCATCAACAACAACACCATGATCGTTACCGCCCTTCTCCAAAGCATCATGGTCGTCGTCTTCCGTGCCATCGTCATCAACACGACCACCATCGTCGTCGACGCCGTCGTCGTTGTTGTCACCACCAACACACCGCCACCGCTACTGCTACCGCCACCGCCATGTGCACGTGGACGTGCACATACACGCACGCGTCCACATACACGTGCACGTGCACATACACGTACACGCCCACACGCAGCACCATCGTCACCATCAGCATAATCATTCTCGTTAATCGTCAGGGTCATTGTCTTGTCATCATCATGTCGTCTTTTTCGTCTTCATGTTCATTACCGCCACCATCCCAATCACCATCATCATCATCATCATCACCATCACGTTTGTCACCATCGTCATCGCAATCATGGCGATGACCATGGCCACACCCATGACCAAAATAATCGCGATCATCATCATAGTTCGAGCTGCAGCGCCCGTGCGGTAGGCTGCTTGTCTGGTCCACAGCATCAGTAATTTTTCCCAACCATGAACTAGAGTAGATGTTTTTCAATCCGAAGATTCGCGTCTTCAGACCACTGCTGCAGACTTCTTGTCGGCAAGTACCAAGAAATCGAGGGTGTCACCGACTTTCGGAGTTGCCCAAAAATGCAGCTCTAAAGATGTAGAAAATATGTTCCAAAATATAGGGGCCCCATAGAAATTATCCCTAAAATACTATAACCTTGGAACACCCGAAACGGGTACACCCCTGTTCGGCAGCCAAACGCAGTCCTTTCTCCCGTCCTTTGAAACGAAGCGAAATGAACCCTAAAAGGTTTTACTGACTGGGCCAGAAGCCTTAGTGGGGACGATGGTAGTATAGAGCAGATGAGTGCCCGCCTTCTCTGGAGGCACTGCCCCATGTGGTGGCCAAAGGGGACGCAAAGGCCATCGACATGATCCTTGCACGTGTAGATGACAAGGACCCGTTCTACGAAGTGTCAGATCAGGGTTCCCCCTTTTTGGGCACAGGGCCATGTCAGGGTTCATATGTAGTCCATGGGGGTCTTATAGAGGGGTGGGCTTAGGTGAGGCCATGTTTGTGCCAATTGTGTCATAGTAGCCAGCTGCAAACGACCGCATAGATCAGAGCTTTGCAGGCCACGCCTGGGATCGTGATGAACACGGTCCCTGTAGACTACTGTAGACCAGCTAGTGAAGTGCTCTAACCCCCCACCCGACTTTCGTTCCATTTGTGCCCACACTTGCTGGAAGTCTCCATAGTCCATAGTCTCCAGAACAGGACGCGGCTGTGTTCTAGAGGGGCTCCAAAGAGAGATCCAATGAGGGCTGGGCTATGTGGACTTTCCCTCTAAACGGTGGTGGCATGGCCGAGGCAAGTGTTGCTTGAGCCCATGTAGCAGACACATAGAAACATTATTGAGGTCCTTGTTATAAGGGAATCCTACGATTTGGCGACTAAACCCTAAACCCTAAACCCTAAACCCTAAACCCTAAACCCTAAACCCTAAACCCTAAACCCTAAACCCTAAACCCAATATACTGGGGCATCCCCCTACTCATGTGCCAGAGCCCTAGGACGTCGAGATCCGAGAGGAGGCCATCCGCGCGCTGGCCCAGGTTGCCAGCGAAGGCCAGGGTTTAGGGTTATAGGGTTTAGGGTTTAGGGTTTAGGGATTAGAAGAAGCAGGCGCTGAGGCCAGAAAACGACACCCCAAAAGGATTTGCTTCCGTTGCCATGGAGTCCGTTTCTGTCTCGCCTGCATTGGGTCCCTAAACCCTAAACCCTAAACCCTCTGTTCACACGCAGCCCCTGGGAGGATTTTCACGAGCTTTGAACCGAACTGCGGCCATGAAAGCTTGATACCTTCCAATTGGAAGGTATCAAGCTTGGTAGGGCTCTCCTGATCTCATGGCTGTAGAGTGTGTCTAGGAAGAAATACCACCTTTGTGTGATTTCGTACTTCGCAGTCGGGTAGGGCACTGAGCTAAGTATTGCATGCTCAATTCGTGTACAAATTGCCGCTGCCTCGAGATGACTCCCTAAACCCTAAACCCTAAACCCAAACCCTTTAAACCCCCCTGTCAGATGACCATCGGGCCCTGAACTGCCTCATCCGCGGCCTGCGCCGATTGCCATGCATTGATGGGCTGAAGCCGACTTCCTTGTGCAGGTTTGCTGTGTATGTCATCTTATATTTATCCTTATTCTTAATAGCTGAATGAATACACTTTACACTCTTAAGGGATACTAGAATCCCCTGTAGAACTGAATGTGTACATTTTTTGGGTCTTATGAACTCAGCAACTAAGAATTTTCCGGAGGGCGTGAAGAGTTTATTCGGCAAGTGCATGATGTGCCACTGGGACTGCGCTTCTGCTTCTGTTCATCCCATCTTCGTCGATAACATCCTATGAGTCCTAACCCCTGAAACCCTAAACCCTAAACCCCTAAACCCTAAACCCTAAATGCAATACGTCCTGTCCGAGGTCCGATACCACCATGCAGCCAGCCCTGCAAGCTACCATGATCCCTCCATGTGGCAAATTCTCCAAAACGATGGTCCGGATCTGCGGTAACCAGCAGATCGTAAATCCTACCTTAAAACCCAAAACCCAAAACCCTCAATACTACACCCTAAGCTCAACTTCTAAACTGACTCTTAGACCCTAAACCCTAAACCCTATAGAGTCCGCTGGCCCTTCTCCCTCTAAAAGACGAGGTGACGAGTCCATCTACGTGCGGCGTGCTGCCCTGGAGGTGGCCCTAACTCTGGGGTTGGGTGCTGTGCTGGCGTTTAGAAGCCTGTACACTATACACACTTTAGGCTGTAAGTTTAAAGTTTAGGGTTTAGGGTTTAGGGTTCAGGGTTTAGGGTGCGCTCTCCACCTAAACCCAAACCCTAAACCCTAACCACTTCGTGGGGTAGGACGTGATGCACGGTTCCGAAATTAGGGGCACCTTATTGGGGTCCTGATTATAAGGGAATCCGATGATGTGGGGGTCTATGTTAGGCTGTATTTTCGCAACCTCCCATATGCCCCCATGACAGACGTACGCTGATGGGGAGTGCAGAACACAACGGCGAGCCCGCCGAAGCACACAAAGCCAGATCTCCGGCCTTCATATTAGGTAGGCCCTTGTCCCTAAACCCTATAAACCCTAAAACCTAAACCCTAAACCCTAAACCCGAAACCCTAAACCCTAAACCCTAAACCCTAAACCCTAAACCCTAAACCCTAAACCCTAAACCCTAAACCCTAAACCCTAAACCCTAAACCCTACCCCTAAACCCGAAGCCCTTTCCCTTATTGGCTTTCAAAGGATCATAGTTAGGAAATTGTTCAGAGGGTTTAGGGGCCATCCCTAGTCTTTACCCAGAAGACCCGAGACCGGCAACACTCAATATTGAGCCTTTGCGCCCTAACATACTACCCTAAACCCTAAACCCTAAACCCTAAACCCTAAACCCTAAACCCTAAACCCTAAACCCTAAACCCTAAACCCTAAACCCTAAACCCTAAACCTAGATGCCCAGAGCACCGAACCTTTGATTACAGAAGCTTGCAAAGCGTACGTCCGGAGCTGATTTACCCCGTCTCATGCGCAGCATTTTCCTGCCCATTACTTCAGGCTTTGGGTGTTGGCGTAGGTACAGGGCAGGCTTTTTGGAGCAGCTTTGATGACCAGGAGCCACCACATGCAACACTTCAACAGCAAGCCACCTGGGATTCCGATAACCCTAAGCCCTAAACCCTAAACCCTAAACCCTAAACCCAAGCACAACCCTGGTCATTCCGATTCTGTTCGGCCTTTCGGCGTTTACCGCTCTCCGAAATCTCTCCCAAAAGGTGCTGCCCCTGTCTTCGTGAGGGGGTCGTCGGTGCCCGCTGTGCCTTCAGGACGAAGGCAGTGAGGTTCTTGGTAGCCCGGTGGTACCCTTTGCCCTTTTTTGGGGTTCTGGGTTCCCTTATCAAGTAACCAACCCCAAAAAAGGGTGTCATTATCAAAATATGGTTGCTGGGCTACCATGGGTCTGAAGGTGTTTAGTTAGGGTATATGGGTTTGGAGTTGAGGGTTGGGGATGTGGCGGTGGAGCTTCTTTGTTATGAAGTGTTGTGCGCAAAGGGTGCGTTTGTGGTGTTAAGTTTGTGGGTGGTTGCTAGGTAAGGTCGACGCCTCACGACTGTTTCTTTCGATTGGACTGGAGTCTTTTCCCGTGAGTACATCTAGATGGAAGCTCTATACATTTGTGTTTGAGCGTCGTAACCCTTCAACCCCTGATCAAGACGTGCCTAGAACTGTACACATACATGCATGCATACAGGGAAAGCTTACTGCAGGGGCCCTAAGCCGACCAGCATCTAATCATCATCAGCTATGGTGGGCCTTGCTACGGCTATGGGCAGCAACAGCGGACTTGTCCCAGCTTTCCAAGTTGCTGCCGAACGCAGGCTGATTGCTCTCTCTTCCCGCAGACATTTGAAGGGTGGAGTTGCGCAAGGGTGCCCCCACATGCAGCGGGAGCCCAGACCGTTTGTGCAACCATCTTCTTGCAAGTGATACCATTAGTTAATGCTGATGGGGTGGCTGGAAGTCCACCCAAGCAAGTATGCGGGCCAGCTTAGCCACAGGGCTAGGCGAGCAAAAAGCCGCGAGCCTTAGCATGGCTGAACCAGCACGGTAAAGCTAGACCTCCTTGATCATTCAGGTTGGAGGAAGATTTTTGGACATGGCAATTGCAACTAATTGCTTGCATGTCGGCTGTGCATTGCTCTGAGCCAGCAAAACCCACAAACCAGCACAACCCATGCAGACAGGAGATCATAGTCCACGTAGTTACACTGAGTGCCGTGGTGGGCGTTTTGCGGCTCACGTGACTGACTCACGCGGAGCCTCCCGAATACATGTTAAGAGTTCGCAGCTGCTGTGAAAACCCTCACCACTTCAATAACTTGGCAAACCTGAACCCCAAACCCTTAGCCCTAAACCCCTAAACCCCTTCACCCCCAAACCCTAAACCCCTAAACCCGAAGCCCCAAACCCTAAGTGATAAGTACTGCAGGGCTGAAGGCTGCCAGGGAGGCAAGGTGTGATCTTCAGCAGTGCATGGCCTGCTAGCCTAGTCTCACAGTGCCGCGCTCTTCCCGCTGGAAAGATGTACCAGACTTGATGGATGCAGTGTTTTAAGGATGTCTTCCTTAGGTAGCTTCATCCTCATGGTGGCTGTGTGTGTGCGATTTTAGGAGGGTGATCAAGATCATCTGACAACCACGTAGCTGACATGGCGTTTCTTGGCTATCTGCGTCTGCGTGCGATGCAGAGGACATCCTGCGTGAGGTGTGGAGGACTAAGTTCATGCTCGCTCATGTTCAAGTCTGGTGCTGTCGTGCTGCGCCGTGGACAATAGTGGTTACCGAACCGCCACGTCCTGTAGGTCGTGCCGTCGCAACCACTGATGTACAAAAAGCGCCTGCTTGCTTGCGAGGCTGCTTGCGTCCTGCTGGCTCTTGCTTTTTTTGAGTTAGTGCAGCTCAACTGCAATGCGCACGGGTGATGGGCCACACGTGCAGCTTCGAAATGCTATAGCTGCAACGTCTCAGCTGCATGTCACCACAGCTGAAGGACAAGAATGGGAGCGCTCGATGTGTTTGGCAGCTCGCATGCGACTCGGGCTGCAATCATGATCTCAGGAAACTACCGCAGAACGCTACCCGCAAAGCGAAGCCGGCTCGTGGAGAATGCGTGGGCCGGCTTCTCAACCCCAAACCCTGACCCTAAACCCTAACCCTGAGGCATCGGATAAGAGTCTTAAGAGTTCAGAATGACTTGCGCGCAGGATCCTTCATATGATGCCGGTTGTGCGGGGAAGCTTGCCACCGTTGGGCTAGCAGCAACACAGGGTGCCCTTAGTCTAACATGTGCAGGGTTCTTGCGCCGACTACTTCATGTGTAATCAAAGAGTTTCCGGGTATGCAAACTGTAGTCTAGGACCCAGAGTAGGCCCTTGGTCCCGTTTTTAGGGTTTAGGTTCTCTTCTATGAGCCCCTTTCAACCAAGAAGGGTGCCCGTTTTGTGCCTACTTGTAGGCTACCCTGGGGTCTAGTACTAGCACACGCTGAAGCTGCAAAGAAGGCCACAGCTGCCTACAGACCTGGATGGCTACAGCCAGGGTGCCCTCCTCATGGCGCGGCCCCCGAGAAGGATACCGGAGACCTAAACCCTAAACCCTAAACCCTAAACCCTAAACCCTAAACCCTAAACCCTAAACCCTAAACCCTAAACCCTAAACCCTACTAAGCACGCAAGCCCCCGTTCTTTCAATTAAGCGGAGATTCAAAAAACATAGTCGAAAAGTCAAAAAGTTCTCCACTTTTCGGCTTTAAACAGCCTGACCCTAAACCCTAAACCGGAAGCCCACAAGTTTGGCCCTTAAATCGGAAGCTTCCTAAAGCCCTGAATCTCAACCCGAATCCCCAAGGCCTGTCTACCGGAAGCCAAAGTGCGGTGTCACACCCTAAACCCTAAACCCTAAACCCTAAACCCTAAACCCTAAACCCTAAACCCACAAACCCACAAACCCACAAACCCACAAACCCACAAACCCACAAACCCACAAACCCTAAACCCTAGACCCACAAACCCACAAACCCTGAACCCTGCAACCAGAAGCCCCAAGCCTTGGAAAGAGTGGCTGACAGGGGGCGGATGCCATGCTCTGCATGCTTTGCAGGGGTGTGGGGTGCATGCGTTTCAGAGGTCCCGGTGCGTAAAGTTTAAGGTGCCCTAAACCCTAAACCCTAAACCCTAAACCCTAAACCCTCGTAGAGAGTTGTCAAGGATATGGAAAGGTTTACACCGGGCATCGCAGGGTTTGGGTTGCCATCCACGCTCCGCCCTGGTAAAGGCGCCTGCTCTTCAAATATCTGCAAGTTGGTTTAGGGTTTAGGGTTAGGGTTTAGGGTGTAGGGATTTAGAGTTTACGGGGGGCCGGGTGGGACGCCATCAACACCAATGTCCCCGCCCCAACAATGGCCAAGCACGCAGGAAGGGTTTCTCGGGTTGCAGGTCGAGGCTTCGTTCTTGTACCCCAAGCCTCAACCCACTACTGTAGCACCCTGAAGCACAGGCGTGCGCGAAAGGGCTTCGCTGGACGCTGGCGCTGCGCCTGCTGCCCTGGCCCAAGCCTGCAGGGCTTACGGATAGGTAGAGGCTCCAGGCATCTTGATTCTTGATGAAAAGGGACAGTTGCCATCAGGCAGCCCTTGGCCCATGATTGCCACGCCAGGTCAACGAGGAGGTTGCTACAGCTCAGCGCAGGAGGTCTCGTTTGCTGCAGCGTCGCGTGCTCAGTATTTTGCACCAACGACTAGAACACTGCAAAAAAGTTATGGAAGGTTCAGGCCTTTAGAGTCACGTGCGCGTTTGCCCCTCGGCAGCTGTTTCGGAGGCTCTTTCGAACGGCTGCCCCTCGTTTTCCCGCCTCCTAAGAGAACCATGGATGCCTTCTTCAGCTGCTTCGCCGGCTCCTGCTTCGAGGGATCCTTCAAGTCCCTCTTCCCCCAGAAAGGGAGCAGCCCTCCCAGTGGTCCGCAGAAGCTGGTGCACAGGATGGGCATGAACAGGTCGGGAGGGGGGGGGGGTAGGGGGGTATGGGGGGATACCGGGAGGGACAAGAGTCTGGAGTTTAGGGTGTACCGAACCCTAAACCCTACATGAGAGTGGGTAAAGGTGAAGGAAGGGAGAGAAGGCGCCCACGTCTCACCACTGCCTGAGGTTCCTGGCCACAGTCATCATGGATGCCACCTGGGACGGAGAACTCGCAACGAAGATGGTCCGAACCCCAAAGGACTGCAGCACTTTTGCATCGTCTTCGGCTTTCTTTGCCAGGGTTTTAGACAGAGGGTTCAGGGTTTAGCCCGATTTTATGAGATGAGGCTGTTCGAGGGCTACCCTAAACCCTAAACCCTAAACCCTAAACCCTGATGCATCTTGAGCCTTTTTGTGTGTGTTGGTGTGGGTCGTTGAAGGACCACGGCATGACTTACGAAGACGTCCGGTTTCCTGCGCTGGATGGCTGCCAGATTGCTGCCTCTTGGTAGCCCAGTGGTACTTTTTTTTTTTTTTTTTTTTGGGGGGGGGGGGGGGGGTTCTGGGTTCCCTTATAAAAAGTAAACAACCCAAAAAAGGGTGCCCTTATTTATAATGTGGCTACTGGGCTACTAAGGCATGGTATATCCCTGCAAAGGATGCCTCCTCCAAGAAGCTGGCTGTGGTAGGCCACCAATCGTGGCTATGACCAAGGGAGTAGGCGTTTGTTTTTTTTGGTTTGCGTTTTTGTTAAGGGGCTTAGGTTCCCTGATAAGCCCCTTTAATGCAAAAAGGGGCAGCCCTTGTATTCTTAGGCTACTCTTGGGTCGCGCAAAGGTGGGCGTGCGCCAACAAATCCGGATGCGTCTTCCACTACCGGCACGGTGCGGTCCCCGTCCATGCGATTGACTACGTGAAGCTTCACCGCGTCCTCTACGATGCCGGCTACCATGTCGTCGGCTACGACCTGCGGAATCACGGTGACTCAGAAAGACGGCTGCCTGCCGGTTTCGGTGAGATTGAGTTCATGGACTGTGCAGGAGTCATGGACTGGGTAAATGCCCATGCCACACTCAAGCACTGTAAGGTCGCCTTGCTACCGTTCTGCGTGTCGGGGGTGGCTTTCTTGAAAGCCAACTCCCTGTACCCAGACAAGTTCAAGAACGTTGCAGCATGGGCTACGACCAACATCTTCCATGGCCCCATCATGTTCGCCGATCGGCCCTTCTTCTTCGGGCTGGGGAATGTGCAGCTCCTGAACGAGGCGTTGCAGGAGAACCAGGCAAAGTATGCCAAGGCAGGCACCATTAAGTTCCCGGACATCAACATCGTAGCTGAGAACATGTCGGCCAAGAAGTATGCAAAGGATGTGAAGGTGCCCGTGCTGTACTGCGAGACGCTCCATGACGTCCAAGACTACCACGAGGTCGCTGCCCCGGAGATCTTCGCAGAATTCGGCCGCGGGATGGATGAGGCCTCCCGACAGCGGAATCTTGGAAGCATACCTGGAAATATGTTTTTTTTTTTTTTTTTTTTCATTTTTTTGGGTAGAAAAATTCCTAAGAAACAGCTCAAATGACAATTTTTGCTAGGGTTCCTCAAGTTCAGTCTAGGAATGAGCTCCATTTCCTGGGGCCTCAGCAGCCGCCGCCCTTCAAAACTCAGGGCCGCAACCGAAGTGAGGGCTACAACTTTTACCAATCTGAGGAGGGGAGCAAGGTGCTGCTCGGCTTCTTGTCGAAGCACTGCCCCTGAGAGGTTTCCTCTCCTGAGCCCCCAACTCCTCGTTGGCTTTCCGGCCGTCGGGCCACTTGCTGTCCTGATCCCATGATCTCATCTTGGTAGCCCAGTGGTACCCTTTATTTTTTTTTGGTTCTGGGTTCCCTTATAAAGCAACCACCCCAAAAAAGGGTGCCCTTATTATAATATGGTTACTGGGCTACTTAGACATGCGGCAGCGACTCTTGTTCCCACGGGCTAGGTGGGGCTGCCTGGCAGTGGAGGCCGGGCGTGCCCGCCCAGCGTGGGTCCTGCGGAACCCGCTGCCTAACCCAAAGATGGGTTGGGCACCCCCTCAGCACAAAAGCAAGGAACGGCCACACCCCCTACCCCCACTTCTGCTGCTGTTTCATGTGCAATGTTTGGGGTTCTGTACCCCAAAAAGGAAGAAGAAGAGACACTTGAGAAAGTGGCTCCAAAAGCCAAAGCACGCACTTAGACACCAGGTTGTTTGTGTGGGCGCGTTCCCAACAGCCACAGGTCTCAGATCCTGATCCAAGGTTTTCTCAGCCGATGCTCGCACCGCATAATCGCACTCGTGCGAATTCTTCCAGCTGCACACGTTGAACTTGTATAGTTGAGCAAACCCTAAAACCTAAACCCGAAACCCTAAACCCTAAACCCTAAACCCCAAACCAATGAACTAAAGCCCGAAGCTTCTGCCACCTTACATCGCAGTGCCGAGGCTGTGCTCAGTGCTCTCGACCGAAGCCTTCAGCTTCACGGCAGCAATTGGCAGGCTTGCCCCAGGCCTTCTTGAAGGTAGGGTTTGGGGTTTAGGGTTTAGGGTTTTGGGTTTTGGGTTTTGGGTTTAGAGTTGAGGGCTTGCAGCCCCAAGCCCGAAACCCGAAACCCTGACCCTCTGACGAACCCCCGTAAACCTACACAGACCCCCTAAACCATAAGCCCCCTAAACCGTAAACCCGGCGCCCTAAGCCCAGTTCTGACCCTAGCCTGCACGGCTGCTAGGGTTTAGGGTTTAGGGTTTAGGGTTTAGGGTTTAGGGTTTAGGGTTTAGGGTTTAGGGTTTAGGGTTTAGGGTTTAGGGTTTAGGGTTTAGGGTTTAAAGGGCTTCGGCTGCGCATCCCTATCGCGCGCCTTGCGTAGCTTAGCAGCCCCAGCCCCCAGGTTTAGGGTTTAGGGTTTAGGGTTTAGGGTTTAGGGTTTAGGGTTTAGGGTTTAGGGTTTAGGGTTTAGGGTTTAGGGTTTAGGGTTTAGCACCCGAACTACTCTCTTCGGGGCTTTCAGGCGCCCAAAGACTCACCAAAAAGACTTGGCCCGGATCTGTGGTCAGGGAGGTGCCTTGAGATTCCTTTGGGAGCGCCCTGCCAGCCCTCACATTGTTAGCTAAACCCTAAACCCTAAACCCTAAACCCTAAACCCTAAACCCTAAACCCTAAACCCTAAACCCTAAACCCTAAACCCAGGGGGCTTTAGAGGGGGGGGAGGGTGCCAGGAGGGCTCAGGGGACGGCTCCGCGCTGTCCGAGAGGCTCGCGCACCCATGTATATGGCCAGCGGCTAGCGCCTAGCGCCTCGCGCAGTTTAGGGTTCGGTTTAGGGTTTAGGGTTTAGGGTTTAGGGTTTAGGGTTTAGGGTTTAGGGTTTAGGGTTTAGGGTTTAGGGTCTAGGGTTTAGGGTTTAGGGTTTAGGGTTTAGGGTTCAGGGCTCAGGGCCTGACCGCCCTAAACCTCGAACCCCTGGGTCTGGCCCCCGTGAGGTGGAGAGCTGCCATTGCTCTGCGGTGGCCCCAGATACCGTCAAGGGGGCAGAGCTTTGCCGGAGATGTTGGTTTAGGGTTTAGGGTTTGGGGTTTAGGATTTAGGGTTTAGGGTTTAGGGTTAGAACCAGCTGAAACTTACGAGCGTGCTGTGAGGTTTAAAAAGAACCCTCAGCTAGCTTTTGAAAGCTCACTTAAAACCTACTTCTACACCCTAAACGGCCAAGGTTTGGGGAGGCGGTGTTGCGCATGGCAAACAAATCATGACTATATCAACCCTCTATAAACCCTACGAAACCTATATTACTTACCCTAACCCTTTATCCTAAACCCTAAACCCTAAACCCCAAACCCTAAACCCTAAACCCTAAACCCTAAACCCTAAACCCTAAACCCTAAACCCTAAACCCTAAACCCTAAACCCTACCTATATACTTAAAACCCAAGCCTTCGAGGCTCATGGCCGCCAAGTCCGAAGGGCTGCGCGCCGATGGGCAGGCGCCTGACCTGCCCAGCCCTAAGGATCCGTGTACCTATATAGAGGGTTTAGGGTTTAGGTTTAGGGTTTAGGGTTAAGGGTTCAGGGTTTAGGGTTTAGGGTTTGGTATATACTTGGGCCTGAAAAGGGGGTTCCTTATATAGTAGCTTTAGGGGCCAAGTATATGCTAGACTTGCGGAGTGTTAGGGCTTGCAGGGTTCGGATTTAGGGCTTCAAAGAGCATACCCTAAACCCTAAACCCTAACCCTAAACCCTAAACCCTAAACCCTTTTTATGGGGCTTATGGGGTTTAGGGCCAAACCCTAACGGTCCATGTACCTAAATGAGGAATACTTGGGCCTTGAAGTACTTCCTGTATAAGGACTTTGGGGCCCAAGCAAAAAACAATGAGGTACATGGACCCTTAGGGTAAGGTTACATGGACCCTTAGGGTAAGGTTCTTGGGCCTTTTTTCGGTGCTAGGACCGTTGAAGAATATCGTCTGGAAGCTGCCAACTGCCTGAGCTTGACCAAAGTTTTGAGCCTCAGGGATGTTTATTTAGGTTTTGGGGTTTAGGGTTTAGAGTTCAGGGTTTGGGGCTTAGGTTCTAAAAGCTCCGTGTCTTGCCATACCCGCGAGCTATGATGAAGGGGTCCGTGAAGATCTCGCAAGAAAAAGACCACACTTTTCCGCTATCAGGCGCACGTCAATGTGGAGGTTCAAGTGGGGTTACAAGCAGGGAAACGATTGCCTAGAAGAGACGCCTAACGTATTTGGAGGACATATCTCCTACTCATAAACCTACCCATGAGCCTTGCACGTGAACCCTACGCACAGTAAACCCGAAGAGACTCTAAGCCTGTAAACCCTGAACTCCTACCCCAAAACCCCTATCAATCTCAGACACCCAACTTTAACTAAGAGATCAAGTGTTTGAGTTGGGACAAGATGTTTCTGTTTGGCATTTACATGTACATAAATATCGAAAGCAAGAGTTATAGAACAATTGTAAAAAATGCTACTTCAGCATTAAATTCAATGGATACACTTACAAAATGGAATGGAACCATTGCCATTGGTACAATTGATAGAATTGAAAACTTTGATAACAATGGTCATGTTCACATCCATTGTCATTTTTAAGGTCGGTTTTTACACAGCTTGACATGAAATCATATAAACAATACAGAATAATGGAAAGGTAACTGAAATTATATAAATAATACAGAATAATAGGAAGGTAACTGAAATTATATAAATAATACAGAATCATAGGAAGGTAACTGAAATTATGTAGAATGTATTTAAGAAAAAACACGTCGGAAAGCTCATATCGCGGCCTTCTCAACGGGCCGACACGGGACCCTTGTATCTACTCTATGAGGGGGGGCTTCGTCGTACACTAAGCCCTACAGACCCCAAACCCTAAACCCTAAACCCTAAACCCCAAACCCCAAACCCCAAACCCTAAACCCTAAACCTTAAACCCTAAACCTTAAACCCTAAACCCTAAACCCCAAACCCTAAACCCTTAGCCCTAAAGCAGGCGCTGGGTGCCTTGCTCAGCGTCCTCAGCGCCAAGGGCCTCTGGCGTAGAGCCGGGACCTCTGCGGCCCAACGGATCCGGGTCTACGGGGTCTGTGGGGTTTAGGGTTTTGGGGTTTCGGGTTTAGGGTTTAGGGTTTGGGGTTTAGGGTTTGGGGTTTAGGGTTTCGGGTTTTGGGTTTAGGGTTTGGGCAGTTTTCCGCCCTGAGTTGCTTCATGGGGGCTATGGTTCGTGTGCCCTAAGCCCGACACCAAAGCCTAACCTTGAGGCGATGGTTCTGCAAAGGGGCACAGTGACCCATCAGAGCGACGATTCCATTAAGGCAAGGTGTTTCGGCACGGTTTACGTTTTAGGGTTTTAGGGTTTAGGTTTAGGGTTTAGGGTTTAGGGTTTAGGGTTTAGGGTTTAGGGTTTAGGGTTTTGTTGCACCTTTCTGTTCCCCAAGCCCTGAACCTCAACAGTTGGGCCTGGCTGACAGTTTTTGGGGCTTCTCATCGGCTACAGTCGCTAGGTCTCCCAGTGGCACCGAGGACCCCCTTCTGAGCTTCGTTCTGTAGCTAACCCAACAGCCAGAAATAGGGTTTAGGGTTTAGGGTTTAGGGGTTAGGGTTTAGGGTTTAGGGTTTAGGGTTTCCGGTGTAGTTTCGGGTTTCGGACACACTGGGGATCCCACCTTAGCATGAGTTGCGAAGCCTCGGGAGACCCTGGCCAAGTCATAACTTTCTAGGATATAGGGTTTAGGGTTTAGGGGTTTAGGGTTTAGGGTCTAGCCGGAGACTCCGGTATCCTTAACAAAAGGACTCTTTCTCAGGTTGCATTTGGCATCCCGAGATAGATGCATTCTAAGGAGCCTTCCTTGATAAACTAGGACCCGAAGTAGGCCCTCATTTTCTGTTTTTAGGGTTGGGGTTCCCTTATATTCCCGTTAAAAACCAAGAGGGGTGCCCTTTTTGTTCCCAGGTTACTCCTGGCTCTTGCCAAGCGAAATGGGTAGTCTCTTGGGTAGTCTTCTGGGCCAAACACCCTAGCGCTCCCGTGCCCTGAGGTCCTCTCCACGCTGCCATGCTTTCCTTGGGAATTTCGTTTTGCTTCTTTTTTTGCACAACCCGGGGGAAGACAAACCACACCCTATACACCCTATACACCCTTGACACCATTAAACCCTAAACACCCTGCAAACCTTGAGCTTGAAGGCCATCCTAGAAGCTTGTGCCCAAGCAGCACAGGCGACCAAGGCGGGCTGTGCGAAGAGAGAAGTAGAGGGATTCCGGGTTTGGGGGGCAGGGGTTGAGGGTTTTTAGGGCTGAGGGTTTTTGAGGGGTTTTGGGGGGCTTGAAGTCTTTGTGTGTGACAGTTTGATTTTTTTTGGGGCTTGATGGGCTTTGGGGTGGGTTTTGGGCTTTGAGGGGTTTAGGGTTGCAGGGCATTAGGGTAGAACTGCCATTTGCGTAAGAAAAAGCCTGCGTATGGCTGCGTACCCATGAACGCAGGGCTTACAGACTTAGAGTAGTATGGGTCTTATACGGGTATTTCCCAATATATAGGGATACGCCCTATTTGATCCCCCAAATAGAATAGAATCCCCCTAAAGGGACACCCCACCCAAAAAGGATACCCCTATTGTCGGAGACCCCTATACGGTTCCAGCTGGTTCCAGCTTCAGGCAAAGTCCTTTCTGCCGGGTTTCTAGCCCCTAGCACACCCAAACCATGCAAGCCCTGCACCAATCGAAACCCAAAACCCTAAACCCTTAAACCCTGATCACCCTAAACCCCTACACCCTTACACCCTTAAATCCTTAGACCCTTAAACCCATAAACCCTTAAAACCCTTAAAACCCTTAAAACCCTTAAAACCCTTAAACCCTTAAACCCTTAAACCCTAAGCCCTTAAGCCCTTAAACCTCATATAAACCCCATATAATCCCCATACAAACCCGAAAAAGCCTGAAAAACCAGATAAACCTGATAAACCTTATCAGCCCCATTTAAACCATACAAACCCCATAAACCCCATTAAAACCCTTGAAACCCCACATTAACCCTAGCAGCTCTACGCCCCTCTCGAAACCCTCAAGCCCTCCACTTTTTCTTGAGAGCTCGACTCGGAGAGGCTATTGAGCTCCTGAACTCCCTGAGGAGGCCGCTTCGCTCCCCAAACCCTAAACCCGAAACCCTAAACCCTAAACCCTAAACCCCAAACCCTAAACCCTAAACCCTACAGGGTTCAAAGCTTGTCCCTTTGGAGGTTGCAGCAGGGTGGGGTTCCTGTGAACCCTCACGTCCCCATAACACCCCCTCAGACTCAAGTCCCGAAATGCCCCTAAGCCATCCCTTATACTCTAAGCCTCTATAAGCTCCGAACACCCTAAACCCCTAAACCCTAAAGCCCTAAACCCCTAAACCCCTAATTCCCTCCCGAAACCCCGAGATCCCTAAACCCCTAAACCCCTAAACCCCTAAACCCCTAAACCCCTAAACCCCTAGATCCCTAAACCCCTAGATCCCTAAACCCCTAAACCCCTAAACCCTAAACCCCTAAACCCTAAACCCCTAAACCCCTAAACCCTAACCCCTAAACTCCTGAACCCCTAAATCCCTGAACCCCTAAACCCCTAAACCCTAAACCCTAAACCCTAAACCTCCAAGCATGGCAGTCCTTCTGCCGGGGACTTCAACCTGGCTTTGGAGGCTTGCAGCAAGGCCGCAGCCGTCAGTTGGCGAACGATTGACAGCAACAACAGGTTTAAACCCTAAACCCTAAACTCTAGTGGCCTGCCCTAACAGCCCAAAAAGCCTTCTCCCCCCCCCAACCTCAGAAGCTCTACAAACACTCAACCCGCTCCCAGTTAGATGTTTAAAGGTTTAGGGTTAGATCAAGGTTCGGATTTAGGGTTAAGCTACCAGGTCTTGTGCCAACAGCCAACAGGGTTTTACTCATATTATCTCACACGCACACACACCTGACAAAAGTTACACTTGTTTCATTGCTTATTTCACATAACCTGAAACCCTAATCTTGAAACCCGAACACTTGAAACGCCAAACCGTGAAAAGCCCATGAATCCTTGATATGAATCTTTTTAACACTTGAAGACCAAAAATACACGATAAGTCGTAGGCCCTAAACCTTGCAACAAGACATGGGCAGTTTCTCTGAAATAAAGGTCCCCTTTTCGGCTGCTACATCTTGTACGGCACCCTCAGAAGAAGGACCCTAAAAAGGGACCCTCATCTAGAGAACTACCCAAGGGAGTCAAGGCATCCCTAAACCCTAAACCCTAAACCCGAAACCCGAAACCCGAAACCCTAAACCCTAAACCCTAAACCCTAAACCCTAAACCCTAAACCCTAAACCCTAAACCCTAAACCCTAAACCCATAGCCATCCCTAAGAGTTCCCTGAACCAGACCCGCAGACGTCAGGCCGGAGACTGGCAAGAGGCTGCAGCCATCTTGGGGACGATGTCCAAGGCACGGTAAGGAGAGTGGGTTTAGGGTTTAGGGTTTGGGGTTTTGGGTTCAGGGTTTAGGGTTTAGGGTTTAGGTGTGAGGGTTTAGCGTTTAGTAGGGTTTGCCCCTCTTCCTGTGCCGAAAATCCTGTGAGTTAGGGCTTGTAGCACATGTGGTCAGACTCACAGGCCTTCGCTTGTCAAAGGAGCCAAAGTAGCCCGGAGTCCGAAGTGCAGAATGCAAAAATACAAAAAGCTTCCATCACAGGCCCGGTTGCAAGCCAGTGCGAGCGGACCGTGACTCAGCTTTCGCTGTTGCCTTCCTCACCCGTCAGGCTGGGTTGTCTGGTTTAGGGTTGAGGGTTTAGGGTTTAGGGTTTGGGGTTTAGGGTCCTCCTCCTCCTCCTCCGCTGACGCTTTTCTATAAAAGGGGAACCGCATTCCTCATGGCGCCAAAAGGGCCCACAGTTTCGATCAAACACCAAACAATTAAACAGAAACCTACAAACCCTATGCAAGGAACCTCAAGCCCCAACACCTAGAACCTTAATCCCGAAACCTCTATACCCGAGAATGAGAACCTCCCCCCCCCCCCCCGCCCCCCTAAGCCCCCCTAAACCTTAAACCCTAAACCCTAAACCCTAAACCCTAAACCCTAAACCCTAAACCCTAAACCCTAAACCCTAAACCCTAAACCCTAAACCCTAAACCCTAAACCCTAAAACAAACAAAGCAATAGAACTAAGCGGGCCCAGGCCTCATCGCCACTGCCACATCGTCCAGGGCCGTGAAGGGCTTCGAGGTGCCGCTTCTTCCTGTTTAGGGTTTAGGGTTTAGGGTTTAGGGTTTAGGGTTCAGGGTTCAGGGTTTAGGGTTTCAAGGCTTACAGGGGGTTGTACGGGTTTTAGGGGTTGTAGGGCTTTCATTGGGTTTCTAGGGGCTTTGAGGGTTTAGGTGTTAGAGGTTTTGGCGGTTTAGGGGCTTTAGGGGCTTCAGGGGCTGTAGAGGTTAAGGGTTTTAGGGTTTAGGGTTTAGGGTTTAGGGTTTAGGGCTTTAGGTGTTTCACGGGCGAGGGGCTTTGGGAGCTTTACGGGGCTTTGGGGTCTTCAGGGGCCTTCAGGCTTTGGGAGCTTAAGCAGTCCAACCCTTGCTTCCCTAAACCCTAAACCCTAAACCCTAAACCCTAAACCCTAAACCCTAAACCCTAAACCCTAAACCCTAAACCCTAAACCCTAAACCCTAAACCATAAACACTACACCCTAAACCCTAAACCCTAAACCCTAAACCCTAAACCCTAAACCCTAAACCCTAAACCCTAAACCCTAAACCCTAAACCCTAAACCCTAACCCTAAACCCTAAACCCTAGACCCTAAACCCTAAACCCTAAACCCTAAACCTAAACCCTAATCCATTCTTTGCTCCGGCGTGCTCGGGGTGCCAGGCGCTGGACAAGCTTCGAGAGCACTTCGGGCGTGCGATGGGCGAGAGCAAGGCCCTGATAATTCGGGTTTAGGGTTTAGGGTTTAGGGCTTAGGGCACTGGAGGGCTTGAAGTGTGGCATTTGGGGGAGGGGGGGTGAGGGGACCCGGGGATGGGGGGGGGGCGGGGGGGTTAGGAAGGTTTGGCCTTGATCCCTAAACCCTGAACCCGACACACTAAACTCAATTTTTGCAAAAACTCTTCGGTCAAACCTTGAACCCCAAACCCTAAACCCTAGACCCCCCACCGAGTAGGTTTGGGCGACTCGCAAGTAAAGAAGGTCGGTGCAAGAAGAGGGCACGAGTGCCCACTGCAACTCACGTCTTCAGACCTTCAGAGTGCCTCGTGGTTTCAGGGTTTAGGGTTTAGGGTGTCTAGGGTTTAGGGCTTAGGGCTTCTAGGGTTTAGGGTATAGTATGGGGTTTAGGGTTTAGGGCTTCTAGGGCTTTTGGGGTTTAGGGATAGCTGAGTTGCAGGCGGATGCTGGGAGTGCCATGGTTGCGGCGATGGAGCTGCTTCAGGCAGGATGCGCCGTCGTGCAAACACAAGAACGGATGCCTCCGAACCTGACGGACCCCCTTTTATTAATTATTTTTTATTTCTTTATTCATTTGTTTATTTATTTATTTATTCATTCATTTATTACTTATTATTTTTATCATCATCATTATGGTTATTATTTATTCATTATTATTATGTTTTTTTTTTTGGGGGGGGGGTTGTTCTAGTAACAAGGTATTAAGACGTACCCCTGAGTTTGTGCCCGAAAGGTTCCCCTTAATTAACATACTCCTAATACGGCCCTCATACTACCCTAAGGATCTTCAAAAAGGTACCCCCACAAAACCCCAGGGTGCAACCTTAAGGGTCCAAAGTACAACCCCTAGGGGGGGGGGGTGGGTACGTGAAAGGGGGTACCTCCATTATTTAGGGGGGACATGCCCACAACAGGAGCGTGACCGCTTGGACGCGCACAGCGCAGGAGCGACGCCAGGGCTTCGGGTTGATGATTTTGTTGGTTTGGGGTTCAGGGTTCGGGGTTTAGGGTTTAGGGTTTAGGGTTTAGGGTTTAGGGTTTGGCTAATTTCAAGGGAGTCATACTCGGACCCCTAAGGATGTACCCCTAAGAGGTTTTCCTTCTTTCTTTTCCGGCCCTTCTACTACCTCAAGGATCTTAAAAGGGGTCCCCAAAACCCAAGGGTACAACCTGAAGGGCCTGCTGGTTTGGTACGCTGAAACCTGAACCAACACCCCGCGCGCTCCGTTGCGCTTGGAAGCTGAGTCTAGAAGCATGTTCGCATCAGCCTATAAGCCCTCTAAACCCTAAACCCTAAGCCCTATAAAGGAGTTGCGGCCCAAGTCTACACCAAGAGCCCCGTAAACCACAAGGAAAATTCCTTGAACTGGGGCTCATGGCCCTTCTTTGAGGGTGGAAAGGTTATTCTAGGTGAACTTGAACCTCAAACCCTTAGCCCCTGAACCACAAACCATCTAGATGGCGGCGGCCAAAACTCGAAGCTTGCAACAGGACCCGGGGCCCCGCCCTCCCTTCCCCCCCCCGGCCCCCTGCGACAAAGATTTGTAATTAACAAAAGGGTCGGCTCTGCGACAGCCCTCGCCACGACAAGGCCTTATTAATGTCCTAAGTCCAAAATCCGACGGCTGCGCGACGGGCTTGAAACAAGCTGCCGCGACAAATGGTTTGTAACTCGGCTGGAGTAGGAGCCTGCGACAAAGTGGGTTGCGGGCCACAGAAACCTTCATGGGAGGCAATGGACCTTTTTAAAGGACCATGCAACTTCCCGTAGGGCATCTAAGGGAAGTTACCTTGGTCCCTCAATATGGTCCCTTAAAGGGTATGTAAGGGCCCCCCAAGTAAGGGCCATGGGGGTGTACGACAATGTTGGGACCCCTGTAATAGACCCCCAAATAGTAGGATTCCCTTACAAAAAGGCCCCCAGTAAGGCACCCCTTAATTTTGGAAACCCCCAAAAGGAAAAGCAAAGGGAACTACCCCTAAACCCTAAACCCTAAACCCTAAACCCTAAGACGGAGGCTGCTGGCTACGTACCAGCTACAGGCAGGCAGCCGACATCCTCAGAAGAGAATTCCCCGGGGTTCTTAGTAGGGAATGTGGGAATTTGGGCCTTACAGAATATGCCCCCTTTCAGGGGTGTTATAGGCTACCCCTCATTCCCTACTAAGAACCAGCCAGGGTGGTGCGGCAGACTGAGGTTAAGGACGTATGGGGCTTCGAGGAGTTTGCGAAAGTTGTGGGTTTTCAGGGTTTTTGTAGGGCTTGTAGGTTTTCGGCGGAGTTGAGGGGGAGGAGTTAGGGTTTGGGGGGTTTTTGGGGATCAGGGTCTCGCCTGAAAACGCCCCTTCTGCACGTCTTAGGCCTAAACCCTAAACCCTAAACCCACTAAGGCCACGCAGCTTGGGATGCTCGCCTTCCCTTGCCAAGGCCGGGTTGCGGGCTTAGGGGAGCCTGAGCAGCCCAAAGGCTACTGTTTCTCGCGAGTGCTGCTTAGACCCCCACACCCTACATCCCAAACCCCACCTCATAGTGGGATCCGGCGCAGCTTTAGGACCCACCCTTCCACACCGCAGTTTGGGGTCTAGTTAGGGATTTGTAGTTGCAGCATGCGATCTGCTGTGAGGCTGGAGAGAAGCCGCATCTTCTCATCGCCTGCGGAACCCGGTGCTGGAGCTGCGTCAGGTTGATTTCAAAGGGCTTGTGATCCATATATGTCAATCGAGAATACTAGGGATGTGCAGAAAAAAGATCCCCGAAAGCTAGCAACTCAAACTTACTGTTTACCCTCAACAAGGAGGGGGCTTAAAGCCACGACCTAGACCTCCAGTCTGTTTGGTCAAATTACAGTAAAAGAGGCCATCAAACAAATGGAGCTACAATTGCATGCTTGGATACCGTTACAGTTGCAGCATTGCTTCTGTGAGGTGTACCCCTAAGGATCCATGTACCTATAGTATATACGTGGGCCCTAAAGCTACTCTATAGGAACCCCCTCAAGGCCCCAGTATATCTTGAGCCCTAAACCCCAAACCCTAAACCTTAAACCCTCTAGAAAGGTACACGGATCCTTAAAACAAAGTCTCCCCTAAAGCTACTATATAGGAACCCCTTTAAGGCCCAAGTATATATTGAGCCCTAAACCCTAAATCGTAAACCCTCTAGAAAGGTACACGGATCCTTAAAACAAAGTCTCCCCTAATTCAGGAGCAGCAGCACTCCCTGGGACAGCGCGGGTTGCGGCAGGTCTTGCAAGAGGCCGACGGCTCTCTGCCCCCACCCCCCTGGTTCTTAGTAGGGAATCAGGGAAGTAGGGCCCAATATAATATACCCCCTTTGAGGGATTACATAGGGTACCTCATTCCCTGATTCAGAACCAGGCAGTCCAAACCCATCCGTCCTTAGGATGCGGCTCCTGATCCACGACCCCCAGAGCGGGCCCTAATCCCCCAAAACGGTTCCGATGCCCTAAACTCTAAACCCTCAATCCTACACCGAAGAGTGCCCTGTTTTTGTTCCTCATCCTAAGTTACTGTGGGATTCTGGGATTTGGTGATTGATTTGACCAGCCTGCTCTTGCCAGTTGGACATCAAGCCTTCGCGGCATTGGGTGCCGAACTCGGCAGCACACGTGTGTTCAATGGACATGTTAAAAGTTATAGATATGTAAGCATATCTGTATGTATTTATGTTTGTATGTACTGTCAAAATGTCTGCTATAATATGGATTTATATGTATATATACACATATACATACATACATACATACATACGTACATACATACATAAATGTACACATTTATATATATATATACACACATATATATATATACCTTCTTTCACTTATGTTTGTATTTATTTATATTTATGCATATATGATGTGCAGTCATACACATAGAGCCTGCAGTCTCCGAGAGTCAGACTGGTACGCAAGCACGAAGAAGCATAGGGTTTAGGGTTTAGGGTTTAGGGTTTTGGGTTAGCAGGCCTTGGCCATGACAGCTCGCACCAATCCAACAGCTTTTGCCCCCGCAAATGGTGTGGGAGTTGTTGCTGGGTTTGGTGGTTTCAAGGGTTTAGGGTAGCGCGGGGTGTAGGGTTTAGGGTTTAGGGTTTAGGGATTAGGGTTTAGGGTTTAGGGCTTTGGGGAACGTGCCATCAGGCAGGATCTGCCTTTCGTGCAGCGCGCCGGGCTCTTCAAGGCAGCGCCGACTCACTGAAGGCCTGCTTTGTAGGGTTTAGGGTTTAGGGTTTAGGGTTTAGGGTCTAGGGTTAGGGTTTAGGGTGCCTCTAGCAACTGCAAAGCATGCGGAGATGGCCCACAACACAACATGCCGATTGCCACTACGAAATATGATGTCGTGGGTGCATTCACCGGACGCCGAACAGTTCAGGTCAAGGGACGAAAGGAGGGACCCTTATAGGGGACCTTAGGGGTTCTTTGAGGATTATGTAGGGGCTACTTAGGTATCTAGGGACTATATACATATACATATATATAATGTATATAGAGAAGGGTTCTATAGGGGAATGAGATTAAAGGTCCCTTCTATGGGGCCCCCCCTTCTACCACTTAAGGTTTGGTTGAGCCGTCCTTGAGGCTGCCGGCCAAGCTGCATGGCTCGCTTCCTTTGGGCAGGCTGGGATATCCTGGGCTTGAGGGCTTAGGGTTTAGGGTGTAGGGTTTAGGGTTTAGGGTTTAGGGTTTAGGGTTTAGGGTACTGTACTTTAATGTGTTGTTTTTTTAATTTTGGTTCTGGGTTCCTATTAGAGCTACTTCTACCTATAAAGGTATCTACTTTTTTTGCCAGGGCTCTACTCCAAAGTAGGGCATCGGGGATCCACTACTCAAACTCTCGGCCGCGATGGTCAGCGGAACTCGTTTTACATGTAGCCCAGTGAGGTCACCAGTCCTAAGTGGGGCGCTGTTCTGCTCTGCTTTGCGTGCAACAGCCGCTGCGAAATCGTGAAAGCTGTAAGTGCCACCTTTTGAACCTTCAACTCTATTCCCCGCATGAAGCCCCAAGCCCCAAACCAAATAGAGACGTTGACGAACACACGGAGTAGATCTAAACCCGAAACAGCTGCCCGAAACAGCTGCCGGTATGTCCGCTGGCAAGCTCTCGGCTCATTAGTACCGGAGATGGAGGATGGAGAGTTTGGGGTTCAGAAGAGTTTCAGAATCCAGCAAGAGTGCTGCAGGCCTACAAATGCAGGAAAATCCAGGAAGTCAGAACGGTGAGAATGTAGCAGCGACTGGTGCGTCACACGTGCATGCATGGGACCTGCAACCAGCAAAAGGGAGCCCCCCCCCCCCCCCCTTATTTCGTCCCCACCATGCAGCAGACTCAGATCCCCCTTAGGGTTTCTCATCTAAGCAGGGCCACTCGTGATGCAGTGGCAGAGATTCAATGGGCGTGCCTATGTCCAGCGGCCTCTGCAATTCGGCGGCATCCCACACTGTCAGAGATTCCGTTGGTGCCTGGGGGTTTGGAGGTGGTTAGAACAGACCAGTATAGCAAGAGCTGGCTACGAAACACTTGCAGCCATGCACACCAAACATAGCCGTACTGCATATGTGAGGTCAGGTGACCTGTGCATGCGGCGATCATTCCAGCATGATTGCTTTGGCGTGCATGTTCGCAGATGTTTCGGGTGTGTGTGCAAGGCTTGTGCAGCTTCCACTGCCTCCACCAGTCACGCACCGTTCTCACCACCGATACTTGCCTGCAGCCGAATACAACAAACCCTCTAAAGGCTCTAAGGGTCTGTACACCGAGCGGGCTTAGGGCTTGGGGTTTAGGTTTTAGGGCCCAATGCCAATATCAGACTTGCTCAGGCAAATGTTAAAAAATCCGAACAGTTGCTAAGACTTGCTCTCCGAAATAAGAGATATCGGAGTCGTCGGAGTCTCTGGGTAGCCGCCTAAACCCTAAACCCTAAACCCTAAACCCTAAACCCTAAACCCTAAACTCTGATAGGAGCCCCCTGAGCCTTAGGCAGCGACTGTGAAAGCCTCAAAGATTTGAGTCGATCCTGCCCGTAGAGACTTCAACATCCCTTATAGTCGGGGTTCAGGGTTTATAGGGCTGAGGGACTCCTCTCATTGTCAGAAGGGTAGGGTTTAGGGTTTAGGGTTCCGGGTTTTGGGGTCTGGTGTTTGGGTTTAGGGTTTAGGGTTTAGGGTTGAGGGTTCAGGGTTCAGGGTTTAGGGTTTAGGGTTTAGGGTTCAGACCTGACTTAAGGAAGGTTGGGGTCTCACTGGGCCCTCCTCAGTTGTGCGATCCCTGACCAGGCATCGCCTCCGGCCAGGCTGGGATGAGGGTTTAGGGTTTAGGGTTTGGGGTTTGGGGTTTAGGGTTTAGGGTTTAGGGTAACCCTTCCCTTCCCTCCCCCCCCTCGCCCCCCCTCCCCAAAGCCCAAAAACCCCAAAAAGCGCCCCCCAAAGCCAAAGCGAGAGGCGCTGGAGAATCTGACCGAGCTAGAGGCCGAGGCAGAGTCGGATCAGGTGCCCCTTGGAGTTGGCGAGGTTCCCGGGTTCCACCCTACTACCCCCCCCCCCTCTATACAACCCCCCCCACCTTAGGTACATAATGATTGAGCCTAATTAAGGCTACTACCCTAAACAAAACGCCCTAAATGTGTGCTGTCGCCGCAGGTTGTGGGTTAAGGGTTTAGGGTTCCGGGTGGCGTAGGGAGCTAGGGAGTTAGGGACTTAGGGACGTAGGGACTTAGGGATTTAGGGACTTGGGGACTTAGGGTTTTTTTGGGCAAGCTTACCAGCTCTCGCAGGAGCACATCGACAGCAACCAGGTTGAGACCTTCGCCCGCTGGGAGGCTTGGGCCCAAAAACCGTGACGCAGAGCCAAGATCCCTTTTTTGTGCGAGGTGCTTGCGAACTACCCTTAAGACCTATACCGCCTATACCCTAAACCCCTATACCCTATACCCTGAGCCTAAACCCTAAACCCTAAAACCTAAACCCTAAACCCTAAACCCGAACTGGGCCTCCCCCCAAAACCTACATCCTCAGCCCGAAGCCCTAAACCCTAAACCCTAAGACCCATATTATGTAAACCTCATATAAACCCTAAACTCTGAAGCCCTCTTCGTGCAGGCCCGTACCGGTCCAAAGGCGCCCAGAGGATGCGAGTCGATCAACTATGAGATGCACATCGGCCCGCCAGTTCGGTGGTTGGGGTGGGTTTCGGGTTTAGGGTTTAGGGTTTAGGGCTTTTGAGGGGGTTTAGGGTTCCGGGTCCCAAGATAAGGCTCATCTTGGTCCGTATGATTTCCATTTGCTTAAGAACCCCCCCCCCCAAAAAAAAAAAAGTAAAAAATGATAATCCCTATATTTCCCTTAAAAGGAAGAATATTTTATTATTTTTTTTTTTTTTTTTTTTTTTTTTTTTGGGGGGGGGGGGGGGGTTCTGAAGCAAGTGGTAGATGATTGAGCAGCTTCTTAAGGTCTCTCGTGGTTCGGATCTCCCTCATATGGGGGGGGTTTCCGAGAAGTAGGGGGGGTACCCTTTTGGGTGGTCCCTTTCAAGGGGATGCTGCTCTAGTTGGGGTACGAAAGGGGTACCGCTATTTTTCGGAAACCCTCTCATGTCTTTAAGCTGTGCACTCGAAAGGCGCCACGATCTTTAGATCCCCGTTTTGGGGTTTAGGTTCGTCTCGCGCTGACACCCTAAGACCGGAACGCCCTGAGCCTAAACCCTAAATCCTGATTTCAATCGCCGGCAGTGGCCGGAGCGCACCTCTTTGGGGGGAGCCAGGGTTTCCACTTTGGCCTCGAAAAACCTCACTGCGACGACATGTAGGGTGCATAGGACTGATGAGGTGCATACCCTGGGGAGTTCAGACCCCTTAGGGCCGTTTGGGGGTATAAGCTCCAACCCTGAACGTCCCAATTGTTTTGGTTTTTGGGATGTGCAGACATGAGTCCAAGGTATGGTAGCGACAACTACCTCGCGACTTGGTTCAGTGACAGAACTCTAAGGCCTGAATCTCACGCTGAAGCCCTGCAGACCTCATAACCCTAACTCCCTGTATGAGCTCCTCTATGAGTGCCATGCACCTATCCACCTATTCTTGGAGGTTCATGGGTACTTAAAACCCCTAATCATAACTGTACTCATAAGCCCCCTAAGTCCCCAAAGTAGGTTATAAGTAGACTTAGAAGTGTGGTTCTTAGTTCCCATGAACCTCCAAGTATGCTTGGGCGTCAAAGGAGTTCCTGTACAGGCGCCCTGATGGCGCCAGTATCGGCTTATCTCCTACGCACGGGTTACTTTGACGTTTCTGCCGCCAGCTCTGTCTTAAGAACGAACCCTAAGGATCCTTGTACCTATATAGTATATGCTTGGGCTCTGAAGCTACTATATAGGAACGCCTTTAAGGCCCAAGTATATACTATATACATACACAGGTCCTCAGGGTATGCTGTGCGCGTGACCCAGGAGTATTTGACGTCCGACGGCCGCCTTTCCAAGAAGCGAGAAAAGCTGCAGAGAGGAGGCGAGACTGATGGCAGTTGGGGGTTTAAAGGGTTTAGGGTTTAGGGTTAGGGGTTTACAGCAAGTTGCCGGCAAGTTCCCTCCGTGTCTTCCCCCGCATCTTATGGTCATCAACATGACGGTGCTGCAAGTGCCATAGCTGGCTCTATAATACGTCCATGGGCCTGAGAGTTAGGTTGCTTGAGACCCTTCAGGACAGGACAATTACGTCCACGAAAGGGAAGGTATCCCTAAACCCCAAAAACACCTGACCCCCTAAACTGAACTCCAAAACCCCCTTACCCCCCGAAACCCTAAACCCCCCTAAACCCCTAAAGCCTAACCCCTAAACCTCGAAGCAGCAACGAGCCTTAAGGCGGCATGCGCTGGGTCTTTCTGTGCCTCATCGGCAGCGGATCCGGCTTGGTAGCTGTCCTCGTGGACTTTGCCATGGAGAAGGCACAAGGATAGGGTTTAGGGTTTAGTGTTTGGGGTTTAGGGGGTTTAGGGGGTTTAGGGTGTGGGGTTTGGGGTTTGGGGTTTAGGGTTTATATGGTTTATAGGGTTTGTAGGGTTTGTAGGGTTTAGAGGGTTTATAGGGTTTATAGGGTTTATTTGGTTAGTAGAGTTTATTTGGTTAGTAGGGTTTATAGGGTTACAAGGTTTAAAGGGTTTGTAGGGTTCACAGGGTTTTGAGGGTTTGTAGGGTTTATTTGATTAGTAGGGTTTATAGGGTTTATTTGGTTTATTTGGTTAGTAGGGTTTACAGGGTTTACAAGGTTTAAAGGGTTTGTAGGGTTCACAGGGTTTTGAGGGTTTGTAGGGTTCACGGGGTCTGGATGTTTATAGGGTTTGTAGGGTTCGCAGGGGTTTATGGGGTTAGCAGGGTTGATAGGGTTGTAGGGCTTCTAGGGTCTATATGGCTTCTAGGGCTGATAGGCGTTATAGGGTAGGTTTTAGGGTAGTATACTGGAATCCCCTATAACGACCTCAAGAAGGAGCTACAGTAGAGTTTTGAGGCAGGGCCTTGGCATTCGCAGTCTGGTGTGCGAGTGCAGGTAGCGCTTTCGTTGGTCTTTTTCTGCGACCTCGTTTGGACCTGTCAGGTTTTCGAGATGAAAATGAGGTGCAATGACTGGGC